GTGATTCTCAACTGTGGGTATGCCAAAGTCCTTCCTCAACAGTTGCCCCTGCCCTGGAAAACATTGGGGAGGCAGGGGTGTCAACAGCCACTTGAGCATCCCCCATTTGACTCCTCCCTGTACCACCTCTACCCTGGGAGAGGGCTGGGATTCCCTCTGCCCCAGGCCCTGTCTCTTCCTTCCTCTGTCCCACCCCTGCTCCACCCCACCTAATGTCTCTTCTCTCCCTCCCCCGCAATGTGGCCTGGGGGATTAGTGGGAGACTGGTACTAGCAACAAGGGTCAGGGGGCCCTGCACTTGTAAATGGCAGCAGGGAAAAGCAGAGCAATGCTGTTCCACTCCTCCAACTACTGGCCATGTCGCTCCACTTCCTGCTGGTGAGGGTGGGGGGTGGCCCTGTCCCTCCCCCAAATGACACAGCCAGCAGCTGGGGAAGCAGAGCAACATTGCTCTCCTGCTGGTGCTGGTGAGGGAGGGGGTAACTGACCCCCGCTGTGGGTGCCAGCCCCCCTCCTCAACATAGTTCCTTGGGCTGCTCAGAGGCTCTGGCCCCTTGCTTCTCCCACCCACAATGTTTGGGGTGTCACCTGTCCCCTTGGCTCACTCTCACGCATCATCCTTGTTCAGGAGGGTACATCAGCTCATCTAGATATTTGCTTGTTTTCACAATAGACTACATAAAAAGCACTAGCAAAGTCAGTACAAATTTCATACAGTGATTTATTTATACTGCTCTATATTCTATACACTGTAATGTAAGTATAATATTTACATTACCGCTGATTTAAGTATGGTAAAAATGAGAAAGCAAGCCAATTTTCAGTAATAATGTGCTATGACACATCTGTGTTTGTGTCTGATTTTGTAAGCACATAGTTTTTAAGTGAAATGAAACTTGGGGGTATACAAGACAAATCAGACTCCTGAAAATAGTGCAGCAGTCTCGAAAAGTTAACAGCCACTGGTCTATGGCAAGCCTGCTCTTTGCCCTTTATTTACTGCAGTTTCCTCCCTTTCAGCCCTCCTCCCTATTGTGCGGGTGAGAAGGTGGGGCTAGTCCTCTCTGGCCCCTTCCTCACCTGCGAGGTTTAATTCCAGCTGTCACAGGAGTGATCTATCTCAGCTTTACCACTGCTCCATTGGAAGTGTAATCAGGCCCTAAAACTGCACTTCTTGTGATCTACTGAACCTATTAGAAATGGACAAAAAAGAAATATTGTTACTGTAAGCTACCAAACTGGGACTACTCCCCCACTGAAGGAATTCCCTGTCCAAGCCACCTACATCCTTACGTTTAACTTTAAATCTGAGGTTATATCTACTCTGAAAAAATTACATCAGCTCTGTCAGTCAGGGCTAACAACTTTCAGTGAGATGAAGCTACACTGATGGAAGAGCTGATCCATCAGGCTTTGTCTACACTGGCATGAATTTCGGAAATGCTTAAAACGGAATACTATTCCGTTTTCAGTTTTTCCAGAAAAGGAGCGTCTACATTGGCAGGCTGCTTTTCCGGAAAAGCATCTGTGGCCACTGTAGATGCACTTTTCCGGAAAAGAGCCCTGATCGCCATTTTCGCGATCAGGGGGTTTTTCCGGAAAAGACTACTGGGCTGTCTACACTGGCTCTTTTCCGGAACAGTGTTCCGGAATAAGGACTTATGCCCGAGTGGGAGCAGAATAGTTTTTCCGGAATAGCGGCTGATTTTGTACAGTAGAGCATTGTTGCTTTTCCGGAAATTCAAGGGCCAGTGTAGACAGCTCACAGCTTATTCCGGAAAAGCGGCTGATTTTCCGGAATAAGTGGCCCAGTGTAGACACAGCCTTCAGTGTAGCTCAAGGCTACCCAACATGTGGCCCATGGGCCACATGCAGCCCACGGCTCGTTTGTTTGCGACCCACAGTGCAGTTTGGGTTTACACAGGGCTAAACACGCAGCCCAAGGGTGTGATCCTTTGAACATGGCTTCCACTGGGAATGCACTTCACAGTGGTGAGGCGTTTTCCAGGTGGGGTGAGCACTGAAAGACACAAGTGGATGGGTTGCCTGGAACAGACCTAGTACAGGGTGTCAGCATTTCTAGCCCCCAGGGAGGAGGTGCTGGGAGCGCTGGGGCATTGTGGAAAGTGCTTTGTATTTATTCTTCCCCCCCCAACCCAGTCAGTGTGAAATAAGCTATTTGCATATATATTTGCATGTATATGCAACCACACTTAAGTTGTGTCCCTCGGGATGTGCTGTGAGTATCATTGTGGCCCCCGCAGCTTCCAAAGTTGAGTAGCCCTGGGCTACGTCTAAATTGGCATGATCTTGCGCAAATACTCTTTAACGCAAGAGTTCTTGCGTTAAAGTATTTGCGCAAGAGAACGTCTACACTGGCATGTGCCTTTGCGCAAGAGATGTGCTTTTGCGCAAGAGCATCCATGCAAGTGTAGACGCTCTTTTGTGCAAGAAAGCTCCGATGGCGATTATAGCCATTGGGCTTTCTTGTGCAAGAAATTCATGTTGCCTGTCTACACTGACCTCTTGTGCAAGAACAGTTGCGCAAAAGGGCTTATTCCTGAGTGGGAGCATCATAGCTCTTGTGCAGGAAGCACTGATTTCACACATTAGAACGTCAGTGTTCTTGCGCAAGAACTCCCCGCCAGTTTAGACAGGCAGCATGTTTTTGCGCAAAAGTGGCCGCTTTGGCACAAGATCGCACCAATGTAGACACAGCCCTGGTATAGCTAATATTATTTGGTTAGGTGGTGTTCCCACTGACAGAAAAACTTCTTCCATCCATGTAGGCAATGTCTACACAGGAGGACATAGCTGACATATCCTAGTGTAGCTACAGCTTGACTTTACTGCTGCAGGAATGTGCATGCAGCAGTTTCATGAGAAATATCAAGATGTTTTGAACTAGTGAAATTGCTGGATGAATCTGGTGTATGTCATTCAGCAGTAAACCAAACAAACACATTGGTAGTTTAAAGCCTCTCCCCCTAAAAAACTCCCAAACAAACAAAAACCACCCCATCACATAAAGTGAAAACATGCAAACATAAGCTCTAGAAATGATTCCCTTCCCTCCCCCAAAAAAGCTTAAATGCTGTACAGAAAGAAAGAAAGTGATAAAATAATCTGGTATTTTACTCCCCCCCCCCCCCCCACGATTATAGCCATTGGGCTTTCTTGTGCAAGAAATTCATGTTGCCTGTCTACACTGACCTCTTGTGCAAGAACAGTTGCGCAAAAGGGCTTATTCCTGAGTGGGAGCATCATAGCTCTTGTGCAGGAAGCACTGATTTCACACATTAGAACGTCAGTGTTCTTGCGCAAGAACTCCCCGCCAGTTTAGACAGGCAGCATGTTTTTGCGCAAAAGTGGCCGCTTTGGCACAAGATCGCACCAATGTAGACACAGCCCTGGTATAGCTAATATTATTTGGTTAGGTGGTGTTCCCACTGACAGAAAAACTTCTTCCATCCATGTAGGCAATGTCTACACAGGAGGACATAGCTGACATATCCTAGTGTAGCTACAGCTTGACTTTACTGCTGCAGGAATGTGCATGCAGCAGTTTCATGAGAAATATCAAGATGTTTTGAACTAGTGAAATTGCTGGATGAATCTGGTGTATGTCATTCAGCAGTAAACCAAACAAACACATTGGTAGTTTAAAGCCTCTCCCCCTAAAAAACTCCCAAACAAACAAAAACCACCCCATCACATAAAGTGAAAACATGCAAACATAAGCTCTAGAAATGATTCCCTTCCCTCCCCCAAAAAAGCTTAAATGCTGTACAGAAAGAAAGAAAGTGATAAAATAATCTGGTATTTTACTCCCCCCCCCCCCCCTAATACAAGGATTTTCTTCTACTCCTGTTGAAGCCAGCAAGAATTTTGCCAGTTTCAGAGGAGCAGATTCTTGGAACCCTTTCTATTATTCTACTGTATCCATTTCCTCTGTTATTCTATCCCTTTCATTTTCACTCAACACTTCAATATTTTCTGGTGCATCTGTTTTTGCGTTTTTTAGTCTCAATTTAGACCTAGTTGTAGATTTGATAGATTAATATCACTTATTTTAGTCACCCACAGCTTTCTTAGCACTTTCTCTCTTGTTTAAAGCCTACTAAAACATTGCAAGGTTCCCTCTTCTCCATATTACATAAAGATACATAGTGGCACGGCACAATTGTATGTACCTTCGAAGTGATGAAATGTAAGTCACAGTCCAAAATGGAAAGTAACGATTAGCCCATTCTGAATAACCTTTGCACTGAGAACAGTGCTTCCAGGATTAATGGTATGTTATGAAAATAGTTAATATTAGGGGTGCATTGGTTTAATAGGAAGCTCTCGAAAGCCAGACTTTTGAAGACTACGCACTCAAAAATACGAAGTCATTGAGCAGCTCCCTCCTTCCTTGGCTACTTCGCAATACTTTGGCTGCAGCGTTAAAATTAAAATGAGTAGAAGGCTGACGGGGTAACTTGCGCTAAAGTCGGGCTCTTAAAATGGTATTAATGATGCTGTTTGCTCTGGCAAAACTTCCCTGGGCTTAGTGTCAGTACAGTAGTGGCAAACCTCCCTTCTCTTTTCTGATTTGCTTGCTCACGGGGCCTCAGCAACCCAACGGAAAAAGAGGAAGAGGAGCAGAGCCCTGCCTACCAACACAGCGCAAAGAAATGCCAGGCCAAGGTACATAGGTGCCCCCAAAGCATAACACATCCAACAACTTCGGCGTGTTACGAAAGCTCCGCTGTCCCGTCTCTGCAGGGCTTGGGGCGCTCCCTGGGTTGCTTTCAACAGAGAACGCGAGTCTCTAGTTTACTCCTGTCAACATCGACATGAGTAAATTCGCTGGCCTGTCCCACCTGCCCCGTGCGAGTCCCCCACCCATGCACTCCCTGCCCCTCCTCCTCCTAGCCCCCTACGCTTCCTCTGCCCGGTCCCAGCGGGGTCCCTCTGGGCCCTCCCTGGCTCGTAGTGTGCAGGCGCCGCTCACGCACCAATTCCCTGGATGAAGATGAAGCCAGTGGTGATGAGAACCGGGTGCCAGTTGAACTCCGCCGAGCCCCCGTCCCAGCCGAGCCCCTCCCGGTAATGAAAGACCCAGACGAGGGCGAAGAGCACGGAGAGGAAGCCAAACAGCAGCGCCGACACCAGCAGCACGAGGAAGAGCCTGTAGCCCTCCATGTTCGGCGCCCCGCACAGACTCCGGCTGCAGCGAGAGGGGCAGGCACTAGCACTGATCCCCTTCCGTAGGGCCGAGCGGGAGCGCCTCGCCCTCTCTCCGGCCCAAGCGCCAGGGGGGAGAGGAAGTGAGAAGGGGGCAGAGTTGCTGCCAGAGGGAGGCACCGCGCCTACCCTCGCTGAGAGAGGCGTACACCCCTTCTCCCCCCGCCCCGGAAGACAGACACACACACACACACATTCTCTGTGGCTGTGTGGCTCTCCCGCACCTCAGCAAGCCCTCAGCGTGGCAAGGTAAACACGTCTTGTCCAAGATGTACCCACAGGTGACTGACAGCATTACATACCGTTTGCCCCACCTAGAGGTTTAACACTGTCTGGGAATGGGTTATCCCTTTCATTTGTGTCTCTTTCTGAGCTGCTAGTTTGCTATCACTGAAATTTTCCTTCCCCCACGGTTACACACAGCTGTTTTGTGGTGCTTTGTGGTGAAAAGTTGCCTCATGTTTGAGACTTTGCCTCTCTTTGCTGCTCTTTCAATCCCTCAATTTTGGACAGCGGAAAATCATGTGTTTTTCCTGCCTCAGTCTCTCCTCTTTAAAATAGCTGGCATTGTCCTCCGGATTTTGGTGCTTTTTCTATCTCCATTTGCATTGCTAGTTCAAAGTTGCTGATTTTGTATTTGGTAACAATATTGTTATACCGTTCGTTGTAGTGAGGTAATCTGCTGGTGTGGCAGATGCATATAGTGAAGCAAATGACAAAGATTCAGATACAAATTACAGACAAATAGAGCCAAAATCACAAAATAGACTCAGAATATTACAAACTAACAAACACATACAAAAATACAGCACAGAAATATACTTAGAGCTGTAGAGACAGAGTACGTCTATGCACTCTAAGCCAGGGTCTGTGGAGTCTTAGCCTGTGTACTTGATGTTTCCAAGCCTAATTGCTGGACTGCCTTGGGTCTCACAGCTGTGCTATTGTGTCATTACTGCACCATGCATATCTTCTGACTTGGGTCCGTGGCTTGAGCTGCCTCTGCACTGTGAAATGACAGGTCTTGGACCTGAGTCACAGCATGGGGGCTCAGACTGACTTACTACACTTCAGGATCCCAGGCAATATTCGTTGTAAACTTGAGTGTTGGGCAGCCGCCCAGGAGAGATTTAAATGCTGCCCAGCTGATTAGTCCATAGCCCCCCCCCCAGTCATCAACATGTGTTGCTACTAGTAGTACACTTATACACAAGACTTGATGCACATAACAAAATTTTTCCTGCACATGGATGGAAGAAATTAGAGGGAACACTGGTCCTAGGACCTAGGTCTTCTGTGCCTGCTGATCTGAGTCAGACCGATTTGTGTGTGCATGGAAGGGAGGCTTGGGCTCAAACCTGAAGCCCCGGCCTAATGTGTGGTGTAGACATGCTTAAGTATATGCCTACCCGGCAGTCATGGGGTGTGATTGCTGCTTTTGTGCTAGTTTGGCTACTGGTATTAAGATGTGGCAGCACAGGCTTCAGTATGGTCTACCTGCCCAGATAATTACTGAGCATTCCAGGCAGGGTTGTATAACACTGCTCTACAGCCAAAATGCTTCTGAAATAAATGTAGTCAAACTTTACTAATTCTGAGTCACTGAGAACGAAAATGATGCTTAAAATTGTTGACTGGCTCTAGTTTTCAAGATATGCTATTGGGTCAGTACATACAACCTTTGACTTGCGAATGGCGGAGGATAAGTGAGTTATAAAGGGAAGGGATCTCAATTTAAACCAGAAATGACTAAAATACATCTTTGACTGGATCTATGAACAAATCTATGACTGGGTTTGGACAGTACTTGCTTTTTAGGCAAAACAATGAATGATGCAATCTGCAGGTGGTATTGCATCGTACATGATATGAATTGCATCATACAGGACAATGTAGCACTTTAAAGACTAACAAGATGGTTTATTAGATGATGAGCTTTCGTGGGCCAGACCCACTTCCTCAGATCAAATAGTGGAAGAAAGTAGTCACAACCATATATACCAAAGGATACAATTAAAAAAAAGAACAAATATGAAAAGGACAAATCACATTGCAGAACAGAAGGGGGATGCGGGGGGGTGGGAAGGGGGAGGAAGGAAGGTAAGTGTCTGTGAATTGATGATATTAGAGGTAGGGAGAGTGGGATGTTTGTGAGTTAATGGTATTACAGGTGATAATTGGGGAAACTGTCTTGATAATGGGTGAGAAAGTTCAAAGACTTGTTAAGTCCCTGGTGGTAAGTGTCGAATTTTAACATGAATGACAGTTCAGAGGATTCCCTTTCAAGTGCAGATGTAAAAGGTCTTTGTAGCAGAATGCAGGTGGCTAAGTCATTTAGAGAGTGTCCTTTCTGGTTAAAGTGGCAAGAAACTGTTTTCTCTTTGTGATCTTGTCTGATATCTGTTTTGTGGGCATTAATCCTTTGGCGAAGTGTCTGAGATGTTTGTCCAATGTACATAGCAGACGGACACTTTCGGCACATGATAGCATAGATTATATTTCTGGATGCGCAGGAATATGTGTTCTTGATCTTATAACTCACTTGGTTAGGTCCAATAATGGTATCAGCAGAATGAATATGTGGACAAAGCTGGCAACGGGGTTTGTTGCAAGGGAAGGTACCAGGGTTGGTATTAGTGTGGTATGTCCTGTGGTGGTTGGTAAGAATCATCTTGAGGTTAGGTGGTTGTCTATAGGAGACTATGGGTCTGTCTCCCAGAGCCTCTTTGAGTATGGTATCCTGTTCCAATATAGGCTGTAGTTTATTGATAATGTGTTGGACAGGTTTAAGTTGGGGGTTGTAGGTGATGACAAGTGGTGTTCTATTGTTGGTTTTCTTGGGTCTGTCTTGAAGTAGATGGTTTCTAGGTATTCGTCTGGCTCTTTCAATTTGCTTTTTTATTTCTCCGGGTGGGTAGTTGAGGTTTATAAATGCTTGGTAGAGATCCTGAAGCTTCTGGTCTCTGTCAGTGGGGTTAGAGCAGATGCGGTTGTATCGAAGGGCTTGGCTATAGACGATGGATCGTGTGGTGTGTTCTGGATGGGAGCTGGATGCATGTAGGTAACTGTATGAGTCAGTGGGTTTTCTGTAGAGAGTGGTGTCTAATTTTCCATTGTTGATTTGTACGGTGGTGTCCAGGAAGTGGATCTCTCGTGTAGAATGGTCCAGGCTGAGGTTGATGGTGGGGTGTAGGTTGTTGAAATCTCTGTGGAATATCTCCAGTGTTTCTTGGCCATGTGTCCAGATCATAAAGATGTCATCGATGTACCGTAGGTAGAGGAGGGGTGAAAGGGGACGGGAGTTGAGGAAACGTTGTTCTAGGTCAGCCATAAAGATGTTAGCATACTGTGGGGCCATGCGTGTACCCATGGCTGTGCCGCTGATCTGGAGGTATAAGTTGTTCTCAAACTGGAAATAATTGTGGGTGAGAACAAAGTTACATAGGTCTGCTATCAGGTTGGCAGTAGTGTCCTCTGGGATAGTGTTTCTAATTGCTTGTAATCCGTCTTCATGTGGGATGTTGGTATATAGAGCTTCTACATCCATGGTGGCAAGGATGGTATTATTGGGGAGGTTATCGATGTTTTGTAGTTTCCTTAGGAAGTCAGTAGTGTCTCGGAGATAGCTGGGGGTATTGGTTACGAAGGGTTTGAGAAGAGTGTCTACATAGCTGGATAGACCAGTAGTGAGCGTGCCAATACCAGAGATGATGGGACGTCCGGGGTGCCCAGGTTTATGGATCTTGGGAAGTAGATAGAACAATCCTGGTCGGGGGTCAGAAGGTGATTCTGTGAGGATTTGTTCCCGAGTAGCTGTGGGGAGGCTTTTAAGGAGACAGTGTAGTTTCTTTTGGTAGTCCAAGGTGGGATCAGAGGGGAGAGGTTTGTAAAATGTGGTGTTCGAGAGTTGTCTGGTTGCCTCCTGGTTATAGTCGGCCTTATTCATAATGACCACAGCACCCCCTTTGTCAGCTGGTTTGATTACAATGTCCAGGTTGTTTTTGAGACTCTGGATGGCATGGTGTTCAGCGCGGCTAAGATTGTGTGTCGCTTGTTGTCGTTTGCGAATAATGTCAGTCTGTGCGTTGTTGCGGAAGCTGTGTATATAGAAATCCAGATTGTAATTCCGACCGTCAGGGGGAGTCCATATAGAATTATTTTTCCTTTGGTGTTGGTAGGGGGGATCTGGTAGGTCAGATTGATGTTCAGTGGTGGTTTGGAAATATTCTCGGAGACGGAGGCGGCGAAAAAAAGCCTCAAGGTCACCACAAAATTGTATCCAGTTTGTGGGGGACGTGGGGCAGAAAGAGAGACCCCGGGACAAGACAGACTCTTCTGCTGGATTGAGTTTGTAGCTGGAGAGGTTAACAATATTATCCGGTGGGTTGAGGCAGTTGCTGTTGTAGCCAGTGGTATGGAGCAGGTTAGAAAATTTATTGTCTTTTCTTTGTTGTAGGGAATAGAAGTGTGTATAGTAGATTTCTTGTCTGGTGGAACAAAAGTCTTGCAAGGTGTCAGTCGGTGTGGATGGTGGTGGAAAATCTCCTCAAGGCATAGAAAAGCCTTGGTTGCAACATGTCACTAAAGATACATTTTTTGCACTCTCATCTAGATTTTTTTCCATCAACTGCGGAGCAGTGAGCGACGAGCACGGCGAGCGATTTCACCAGGACATTGCAACAATGGAGAAACACTGTCAGGGCAAATGGAGCCCATCAATGCTTGCAGATTATTGCTGGACAGCGACAAGAGATGCTCCATTTAATGAATACAAGAGACAAGCCAAGAAGCGCCGAGTAGACACTGAATAGACTAAACTATGTACATAATAGTTTTTTGCCTTTTGTTTCATAATAAATTTTATTTATATAACCCTTTTGCTGATTTTTAAAGTGTTACATAAACTGGACAGGTGAAATATTATCATGTAAAGCAACCATAAACACATGAAAATACCTAGGTTTATAATTTATGATTAAAACTCTACTATCTACACAATATACATAGACATAAAATGTAAAAACTTAAATATCTTGGAAACAGTAGCCAATCAGTTGTTTTGTCATATCTGAATTCAGCACATCAAAATACATAATAAATAGCACATTTTA